ACAAGCGAGACAGACTGAAAAAGGACTACACACTGATCTGAGCTCTCAGTTTGGGAGCTAACGCTAGCTAGCAACAAGTGTGATGCTCCAAACATGGTTAATTTACCCAAAATTCAACATGGTGTGATGTCAACTTCACATTCTCTGTACAGGTTTTTTGCAGCCCATCAGTGCTTTGTACTGAAGCATACTTGTTGCAGACACCTCTCTTCTTGACATGTCTGGCCCACAAGCCTCAGAATCTGCAGCTTCAGGCCACCAGCAGACAGAAAGTTATGGCCCCTAATGAGATTCAGGTCGTCACACATTCAAGGTGGTAAAGCTAAGAGCTGAGCTTTGAATCAGCTGCTTTATAACGGTGACAAGATGAGGTATTATTCCAGATGGGTCTTGTTAGGTAAAGTGCACTAAACCACAAAATAAATGGTGGCTTAGGGCACTGTTAATCACAATTACTTAATCACACTTAATCACAATCATAAACATTGCTACAAAGGTGGCTCAGATTAGACTAAATGCCAATTAGCAGTGACAATCACCACTCTGGGATGTGAGTTTTTCAAGCCAAGTAATAGAGCCACAGAATTTTACATACAGTAGGGCAAATTATGACAGTAAATGCCAAAGACAAATACATGTTTTTATAAGTAGAACTACCAACAAATAAGTTGGACACAGTCTGTGGTTTCAGACATGGCAGCTGTAATGGTATTCAAACTAAAATAGTGCTCTTCAGTGTTCAGTTATGTTCAAGTAAACATTTTTTCCACATCGTTTTCCTGTTGTCAGTTTGCTGAATGCTGCTCATCACAGAGCATGCTAATAACTCTGTAAGCTGAGGTTCAAAGTTCATTCTTGACCCAAATAATTCCAAGTCCATTTCGAAGCTGTTCTGAAGATGTCAGCGCAATCACATGACAACTATCAGCCAAGGAGGTTTACCGCCATTTGTCACCAAAGCATAGATATTCATTTTTCTCTGCTCACTTCCTTGTCCCTGCTATATCTTAAAATTTGAGGCTCCAAGTTCACTGTGGACTTTGGAAACAGTAGGTAGAAAAAACAATTTCATCACAAAGTTTCTGCAGTATATACAGTATAATGGCATCTGTAAATATTTAAACAGTGACTCATCTTTAGTTGAGTTGGTTCAGTACTCCAGTATATTGGATCTGACTGCCAGCTTTAATTTAAGAGGTTTTTAAATCTATACTGAGTGAATAACATAAGAACCAAAGCACAGTAAATCTTGTTGCACTGTCCAAAAACTGAAGTGACTGAGCTTTTAGAAGAGATTTTTGTTTAATCTGCTCAGTGTTTGGTTTATATCCTGTATGTGTGTGTAAAAACATGAAGGTGTCAGGTGCCTCTGTATACCTATCACATCTTATAGTTGTTGTAGGCTTTTTTATGTGTAAATATCCATAATGCAGACTGATTTCTGCATTGTATAACCAATATGTGACCACTCTCAGTCACTGTTTCATGTTAAATGTGCTTTTACACAGAAAAAAAACAACAAAGAATCAGTCACAGTCCAAATGCATACAGATTGCACTATACATCACAGAGACAACAACAGATGCTTGAATGCAGACAGAAAGCTATTGCCCATAAAAAATAGTAATAGGAACTTGCTGCAAGTGCCAAGTCGGATTAAAATGTAATGACACCGTGTAGCTATTCCTCCAGAGTTCAGAAATGAATGTTAAATTTCTCATGTTTGCGTGATATACAATTGTCTTGGAACACGACGACAACTCTGGGGGGATTTTTCTCAGCAGTGTTTCCCACATTAAAAAAGACTTCGATTTAAAAAACGACCTCATAGAGTGCTATAGTGATCATGCTGGGGGACATAGAAACCTGTTAACAAAGTATGCATTTTATCATTGTGCTGATGTCAAACAAATTAGAAGTTAAATCGGTCCTGACGCTGCTGAAGTCAGACCTCTTGGAACCAATTCAAGGGCCCTGCTGAGCTTTGAACCCTGGCTGTGGAGGCGCGTGCATACGCTATCCAAACATAGATGTGCTGTGTGAAATCAGTATGTATTGGAGAAATGTTTCAGGCAGAATGTGAGAGGAAAACAGCAGCCAGCTGTCAAAGAGGATGAGGGTCTGCCAGAGAGGTGAGATGGTTGATGTGTATGGATGAGGCCATGATGGAAAGTGCGAGAGAAGAGGGAGGGGGGCATGTTTATGGGTTGGGGGGGGGGCATAGCGAGGCCAGTAAACTGCTTGTGAAATGAAAATGGCTCTTTAGCAGAATCCAGGACACTTGGGCGCTGCACTGGATCAATGTCTCTGATTTACTGTCTGAAAGCCTGTCAGGGGGAAAGAGAGGGGTGGGGGGGTGGGGAGGGGCGTTTGGCCGGACAGAGAGAAGTTAGAGCTTAGAGGCAGAAGAGTCCTTTAATGGAAGGAGAAAGAGGAGAGATGAGCAGAGGTAAGGAATGGAGAGGGAAATTGTCTGTCAGAGTGACAGTGTGAGGAGGCAGAATCAGAGGGATTGCTCCTCAAGTCCTCGTGGCTGAGATACAAAATCAATCTGTCAAGGCAATGGGGAAGGGCAATCTTGTTTTGTGCAGGGAATTGGTGCAGCCATTTGGGGTAAAATCAATAGGGGACACATGGTGCTTCTTAAATCTTTACTATCCCACAGAGGGCAGCTGTATTGACAAACAGGGGAGTGTACGTAGGCAGTACACAAATCCTTAAGTTGACCTGTCGGGAAGGAATCTATATTCTGCTGGTGGCCAAAGCATTGGTGGAGTCTGATGAAAGCGGTGCACTCAGGAAATGTAAATGATGAAAAGATAATGTTCAGGTAGAACAACCCAGCTTCTACCAATACTGGTTTTATTACAGGTGATAGACGTTCCCCTTGTTTCATCTATATCGGTCTATCAGGCCGACAACCGATGATTATTTCCTGATCAGATATCCGGCAGGTTATTTTATTTTCTCAATTAATCGACTATTAAGAGACTACTAGCCTACAGCCATGCTAGCAGCTCTGTCAACTCTATCAGCATGATAACAATAACAATACCAACATGCTGATGTCCAACAGGTTTTTTTAAAACCAGGTTAGACATCACAGTATCATATTTGACCATGCTAACATTTTACTAATAAGACTAGCACAAGCACGAGTATTTGGGGCTGAATGAAAATGTAAAAATGAGAAAAATGACCGCACACTTAAAGTTTACATGATACATTTAGAAAATATAGCCGACGTTTCAACCCACCGGTTTTGTCGAAGCAAGCAAGATAAAGTATTTGCAGCAAGCAAACATTTATATGCTCAAACACACCTGAGAGCAATCTACAGTTTGAATTGAATTTGATCTTAAATGTTTTTGTCAATTTAATGGCCTATATGGAAACCGAGGAGTTAATTTTTATGATATGACGTCTTTATGTACTGATTTTTATAGTAATGGTTTTCTGTAGATCTAGTAGTAAATATATTATTTGACAAATTTGTGTGTAGATATTTGGATATTCATGCCTCCATATTTTATTGTATTTTTATACAGTGGTGATGTTAAGATTATATTGTTGGTTCTATAATAATGAACTTCTGAATTGAAGTATTATGGACCCATATCATGTCAAATGTAGTTAGCTCATGTTTTTTCCCAGATCTGTATCCAACAGATTGTTTTATTTTAAGAATGTACTCTAAAAGGTATACTCATAGGATTGATATGTTATTTATATTTAAAACATTCTACATTTAAGATAGATTTAAAAGTGCTCCTCTCTATTTATACATTTGACATTATATATGCTTTTAAAGACGCGCTTTAAGAGGCATATTTGAGTGTTTTCTTGTACATAGCTGATAATGCTTAACTTTTGTAGTTATATTTTTGACTGTCTCAATATGTGAATGAAATGTGCAGTGGAGGTTGCTCTAAGGTTGACCAGGTTGTTAATTTAAAAGCACCTATGTTAACCTACTGATGATGTCAGCGGTTATAGATTGCTCTCAGGTGTGAGATGTGAGCACATAAATGTTTGCTTGCCACAAGTGATTTATCTTACTTGCTTTGAAGAAGACCGGCAGGTCGAAACGTCGGCTGTGTTTTCTAAATTTATCATGTAAGCTTTCAGTGTGCGTTCACGCTAGCTTAATTCCACTGAATGAAAAGTCACCAAAGTTATTACAATTCATCCTAATATGTTTTTTTATTTGATCCATCAAATCTATCCAGTCGTTGCTAAGATATGCGACTCTGAATTACAAATCTCAAACTGCTGTTGCTGCTAGAGTAGAAGTCAGGGAGGTCATGAAAGTAATTAGGATTAATCATCTAGGAACCATGGATATGTAGCTGTGCACATTGTGAGCCAATCTATTCAGCAGATTTTGAGATGTTTGATTAAATAAATGAAAACTTTAACACTTGTGGACCTACAGTATCAAGAGGCTGACATTGCCATCTTTATTTTGTAGAGTCCAAGGGGCTGTCTGTCAGTTATTTTTGTCTAACCCACCCCAAATCCCAGAGATTTAGTTTACTTTGATATATAATATGGACAAGCTGGAAATCATCACATCTGAGAAACTGGACATAAAGAATGTTTGGTATTGTTTGACTCTATTACAGGGCACAAACATGATTCTCATAACAGCTGCCAGTTAATTATCTGTGGTCAGTTAATTGTTGCATCTCTCTCTTTACTCAGATTCTTTTCCTAAGCAAATGTAGAAATACCACAGTGTAAAAATACTTTATTACAAGTAAAGGTCTTCCATAAAAATGTTAAGTGAAAGTACAAAAAAATTAGCATAAAAATATACTTGGTACTCATTATGGAGAATAGCGCATTACACATGAATATATGTTATTGTGTTTGTAATCATTAATGCATTATTGTGCACATCACATTTAATGGTGCAGCTGCTAAAAGTTATTTGATTAGAATTTGATTTACTCCTGGGCAGCTTGTGATTTCTTTTCAGCAGGGCAGGAATCGACAAAGTGTTATGATTATAGTGTATATTATTAACCTGACTCTGAAAAGTAACTGAAGTTATCAAATAAATGTTGTGCAGTAAAAAGTACAATATTTGAATCTGAAATGTAGTGAAGTCAAAGTACGTAGTAGCAGAAAATAGAAAATAGTGAGGTACAGATAGCTCACAATTGTACTTGAGTAAATGTATTTAGTTACTTTCCAGCACTGCAGTGACTTGCATTCATTTCCTTGCGACTTACCTTAACCTTAAGCACTACTTCCCAAACCCTGGCCTTGCCTAACTGCGCTGTCACACCAAAATTTAGATTTATTTTGTGGGGACTAGCACCTGGTCCTGAGTCCCCTCAGTGTGATTGTGTAAAAAGGTTGCGGCCCCCACAGTGTGAGTAAGACGCACAGACAGACACACAGGTCTGGGCCCCAGAATGACAGGCCGGACGTCTCGACAGGAGTGTTTTCCCCGCACCCTCGGGACACGGGGAGTCTGGGTGGAGGAGGGTTATTTTATTTTTATTTTGAGTGTTTAATGTATTAAAAGGGGCTGGGGTAATGAATTATAATCTTTAATGCAGAAACCGATCAATACCACCCAGAGAATAAATCAGCTTTTACTGAGAGCGTCAAAGCCCCTTAATACACTAGGGGAGAGAAAGCAAGTGCATGGGGGAGGAGGGGGAGGAAAGCAGCAGGGACAAACTCGAAATGAACTCGGATGAAGGAGAGAGAGAGGAAGAGGGTGAAATGGTAGAGAAAAGGGTAAAGATGAAGGGCTAGAGAGATGGGTGGAGGCAGACGGAGGGAAGTTATAGGTGACCAGACTCACCTTTGGGCTAACCTCATTGAGTAAAAGCCTGGTAAAAGCACAGCAATTTTGACAGTTTTGTGAGGAGGTGAGGTTGCAGGGTCAGCTGGTGTGTGCGTGTACTCCAACTAGTTATATTGTGTTCCATCTCAGCAATTCCCTCCCTGTGCCTGGAGCTAAATATAATTAATTGAATTACAGCACCACTTCTCAATCAAAGATCACCTCACCGCTGCCTTGACTCAATGCCTGCCCAGCCAAGGGGCCTGTGCTGAGAAGAACTCCTGACAACAATCCATGAATTTATTAACCCAAAATGTGGTTAATAAATAATAATATTAACCAAAACAGCCAGACTGCAGAAAGAAAAGAACCCCCCCTTAAAAAAACAGCTTGATTTGGATTCTGTGGTTGTACAGATTCATCTCAGAAGCAAGCAGCAGGACTAAACTAAAATCTAATGCACCTCTTAAGTGTTTAAAATATCCAACTTGTTCAGTTAGTGGACTAAGTGGTTTAAGTGAGGTTTTTGGTTGCTGGAGGGTATTTAGTAAGACGGTCATTAAAGTTTGATAGCTCCATAAAGGACTGGAGGTTAAATGGGTAAAGGGGGATGATGAGGAAAGATACATGGGCCACAGAGGTGCAAGAGAAGCCTTCAGTGAGAAACAGGAAAAAGAGAAGACCAGAGAGAAGAGATCTTTACAAGGGGAGGGAAGAAGGCTAAAGACACCGAGAAGGAGCACTGGAGAAGTGATTTTGCTGTAGTGTCACACCCCTCAGGTGCTCAATAATTAAGCAGCTGAGCAGACTCTTGAGATCCGACTGTGATGTCAACCGAGGCAGCCATCCATCATTCATCGCTTTAGGAATCGGGAATGGAGATGGCACTTAATCACTCATTTTGTGAAAAGACTTTTCTCTCACTATTTTTTTTCTCCAAGGCTTTTTTTGACTGATTTGTTGTTGCTGCTGCTTGCTATGCTTGTATGAACAAAGCCTACCTTCAGATCATACTGAATAAAGGGTCTTATAGCAAACAAAGTACATTCCTGATTTTTATTCATCCTCCTTTTCAAGTGCCCCTTTTTAAGAATTGCTTGTTAATGCGCTGAGGGTTATAAATGGAGGAAAATGACCTGTGAAAGCTCTTGCTGCATGCATAGCTAACCACAAGGCTCTTCAGCTGAGAGTTTAAAGCCTTACCCTTCACTTTTTGTCTGTGAGTGCTGCCTGTCTGTGTGCTTCAGGGCACGATTGTTGCATTGCACTCATAATAAGCCTCTGAGTGACTGGCAGAACCAATATCTTACTATCGCTTTGCCCTGCACTCACTTAGACAGCTCGGTGTGCAGCCCCCTTCATGCATCTCAATTCCACAAACACAATGTTCAGAGCTGAGAGAAGGGGCCTGCTTTCTGATTAATGTCACCATGACAACTACATAATTCATGAGTTGTATTAGCAATCCGTTTATCATTTGCAAATCATAATTCAGGATGTGTTTGAAGAGGACTGGCTGGAGAGAAAGAGCTACAGCCTGCTATTATCCTTAGTGTTGTCTCACACATACACAAAAACAACTGCTGCTGGAAATGCTGATGTATCCTCATCCTAATCTGGGAGGCAGAAGCTCTTTGGATGCTGCCTGTCTTATTAGAGGGCCCTTTTAGCTTCATGGTAAACTCTTGGGTCTGCTCATTTGGAGAGCTGCATGCTAATTTACCCTCCTCATCTATTCGTCTGTCTGTCTGTTGGCAGAGGCCTGGCTGGCACTCCACGGACACCGTTTGGTGCAACAGTGAATGGAGTTAAGGCAGATTCTCACTAAAGCACTAGTGCAGATAATTTGCCACTAGATCAATGATTGGCTTTGCAGGGGAAACCTAAAATGAAACAGGATTTTCAACCATATGTGAACCAGATGTCAGGGTTTCTGCATGTTTATTCCACTGTCCACAAATCAGATCCAGGGGTTACAAGGAAGTTTGTCAGTAGTTTTGCATATTAATGTTGCTTCCAGAATAAATCTGACCCTCAGTTCTGCCTCCACTGCAGATGACTTCATGAATTTTTCCTTTTTTTTTTTGCTTAAAGCTGCATTAACTACGATTTAGCACAAATTCGGATAAATCAAGTAAAAAATTGTCTAGAAGTGTTTTCTGCCTGCTGTACTAAGGCCCGACCCCACTTTGCTATCTTCAAGCCTTGTGCTTATTTCTCTCACTCTTTGGCCACTGTTGTTATTGCACTTCTTACATGCCCCTGGTGATCCGAGGTTATAAAATGCTTTTCCAAAGCAGTAAGGCTCATTTCAAAGACAGACAGTGGAGGCTATCTGTGCAGATACAACCCAGAATGGGAGCAGACCTGTCAGACCCAAGAGGCCATGTTCTGTAGCACAGAAAAGGGGGTTTTCCATTATTTGAACCTACCGAAACATGTCACACAAAGTAACACTCAGCATGGGTTCTGTGTTTGTTTCCACTACACTGTAGCTGTATTCTGGAGGCTAAATTTCAGCACTTCTCAGGATGTAGTACTAAAATCCAGTGCCAGGACCACATGGGAGCATGGGGTGCATGTGCGCAGAGCAGATGTGGTGATTGGTTAAATGTCCATGTCTTCACACCTCAAGCATTAGCATTACAAGCAATGTGTGTAAACACACAGCTGACTGCGTGTGTGAGAGAGGAGCAGCCCCTCCATCCTCCAAACAGAGACCTACGGAAGGAAGATACAGTGGAAAAACAAAGCAGGACAGTCCACATCAACCCCGGAGGCTATGCTTGGTGATGGCTAAGGGAAGTACAGGGTAGAACGAGGCAAAACCAGGGTTAACACTGGTTTGGAATGTCAGAGATGGAGATCAGTCAAAGTATCTAAAGGATTCAAATTTGATGTAGATGTGGTTTTCTTATTTCTAGATGTGCAAGAAGTTGGCTAACATGTATATGTCGGCAGAGCGTAGCCCCAGGCACATCCACCCACGACCCCCGCTCTGCCAGCAGGTCAAGGCCAATGATGCATGGATTTTAAATACTGGTGCTCAATGGTGTGACCTGTAACAGTCACTCTAAGCGTCCTCTCTCCCCACATCTTTGCACTTTTGCCAGTGACTGTGGTAATGCAGCGTTTGGTGGCCCTCCACTTCTGGGGTCTTGGCCCTTCCGTCCCCAGCAATGTCCCCAGGCGCACCAGAGAAATGGTGGACCCCGTGTCCAGCGAGGCGCAGCATTTGATACCATTCAGCTAACAGTCCAGCCCAGGGTTAGCGATGTTACCATGACCACTGAACAGCTTTATCACTTGTTAAAAAGACTGATGCTCACACACCGACCCTGCTCCGGTCATACTGTATGTGGACACATCTATGTCGTATGTATTAGTAAAATCGTTCTGTGGCGAAAATAGGCAATGGGTACATCAATGAATATGAAACTGAAAAATAATTTACAGTAACTGGTGAAAGATGAATTTAAGAAAAAATATCAACTAAAGGACATATTTTGCTTTTTTTTTTAAACCATCTTATTGGAGGTTAAAGGAAAAGGCTCAGTATAAAGCTTAAGGACTTCTTTTCACACTCCATTTTCATTATTTAATTCCATTAAATATTCTGTGACATTGTTGAGTGTCTGTGTCAGTATCAGGTGGTTAATTTCTTCACAACTTAACACTGGAAATCAATGACAATGTTTATTCATGAATTCAAAAAAACTAAAATAATTTGATATTTATAAAAAAGGCGATACAAAACCAGTTTTCAAGAAGCACATAATATAAAACATTAGATTTTTCTTTTAATTGAGATTTGAGTGTACTGTAGTTCTTTCTCAAGCCGCTGCGGTGTCGTCACTGGAGTTTTGATTTTCTGGAAGTTGGAGATCACACCCTAAGGTACAAGCATGTTTTATTAGCTGTATTTTGAGTTCATACAGAGCGTTCTCTGGGTATAGCTTTACTGCCATACAACAGTCCAATTTGTATTCCTTCATTAAAAAATCTCACCATTAACACAGTTTGAGTTGTTTTTCTCTGAAAGAAATTCAGACTGACTTCTTTGGGTAGACATTTCTAAAGTACACAAACATCAAAATACCCATTTTACTCATGTCACTTTCTTACCTTTCCCTTCTTCCTCCTCAGCAGGCTCCGGACTGATCAGCGGTGACTCTGCTGCCCGGGGTGAGTTTGGTTCGCCTCTCTCTCCTTCCCAGAGGACATTGGAGGTGTTCTGACTGGAGTGCAACCGTACGCGGGGAGGTGTCTTGTTGTCACCAGGACTGAAGGATTGGGAAACTCCAGAGCCTCCTCTGGCCAAACCCAGCCCCCAGCCATGACGGGATCCTAACTTACGACGGCCCCTGGAGCCAGAGCGCATGGTTGGAGTCCCGGGGACGGAGATGTCCGGCTCCGTGTGGGACTGAGATTTTCTCATGGGAGAGGGAGATACTGGAGCACTGCGTGGGTCTGAAAAGGTAAGAAAGAAATTCAAGCTGCAGAAGTAATAAATTATTACTTATATCCTCTTTATACAAAGGTAGTAGCGCTATTTATACTGATCAATGCCTTAACATAATGATTTCTCGGTCTTAAACTGCTGTCTTCCTTTATGCTATATTTTTCACAGTGTGCCACCAGGTGTGGGACAAATCTGCTCAGTTGCTTTACAGAACAAACCAGCAATGTACATAACATGTAAATACAGATTCAGGGACTCTAACGATGACAGGTACAGAAATAAATTGAGAAAATGTGACAACTATGTCTCAAGTAATCAGGGTAGGAGGTTTGATCCCTGGCTGTTTCTATGCATGTCCAGTGTCCACAGTGTCCTTAAGCAAGACATTAAAACCCAGAAGTTGGTCCTGATGGCCCAGGCACCTCCAGCCTTCTCCGGGATGTGTGTGTGTGAATGGGCAAACGAGGAGCACTTTGTTCTGGTGAAGAAGAACAGCTTAACGCTTTAATTTAAATCTAATATTATAAACGGAATCTAAATAATTAAAAGTACATATGCTGAGTGTTTAAGGCCATTTGTAAACCAAGTTCTTCTGGAACTGATTCTTAAATAAACATAATCACAAAATATATGGATATATTTCAAATGTAGCAACCTGTTTTCATAATTTAGTTTTAATTTAATTATACTTTGCCTTTATGGTGTTTAAGAGAAATATTGTTTAATGCACAGATGGTGAACAGGTGCAGAGGAGAATGAAGAAATGCAAAACAGGCAGAGAAGTCCTGCACGTTACCAGTACTAACACTACTGAAAAGGAACATTTAAGGCAAACTCAAAAAATGTAACATATTTATACGCCACATGGTCATAATGGTCAAAACGTGGATAATAACACAAACATGGTCTAAGATGAGTTGTTTAAATAGTAACTGTAACTATATTAAATGTATAAATAATGTAAAACATCTGACCTTTTATATTCAAAAAGCATTAGTCGAAGATATCAAACTGAAATAATATTAATGAATGGTATTCATAAATTCTCACCCATAATCTTTGTTTAAAGAGAGAAAAACCTGAGATGGTGACATCAGTCTAGTGGGTAAGGTCACATTAACCAGCCATAAAACAACTTGGTTTCAGGATTAAATGTAGGTATTTTTTACTGTTTTCTACATCTTTAAAATTGAACAATTCAAAAACATTTAGCTTCTTCCACTTGGTGTGTAATTGAGAGATGGAGTGTCACTCTGGGATGCAGGCTCAAAACAAACAAAACAGCAATAATAGAAAGAGCTTAAACACACAGTTTAAGAAAGCGGTGTTTTAGGGGGAATAACAGAAAACACAGCACCAAAGAAAATAAGATTAAAAGGGAACAATAATAATAGTAAAATATTGTGAATGCAGGTAGGGGCTTTCCAATCACCGCTCTCTGTCAGTGAACACATTCCACAGTCAAGGTGCATAAAAAGAGAATGAAGCCTTGTGAATCGTTTCCTTTCAACATGTGATTAGCAGAGAAAGCCGACCGTTCCTAAGTCTTGGCACTCAATAGGGAGAGATCTAAGGAGAGGAGAGTGGTATCAGTGCCGACCACACTTGGCAGTCATGAGATGATTTGTATGCATGCCCGTAGCCTCGCTTGATGGGGTGAGCATATCTTTGTGAAACACGCTGCCCGCGGCGGTGAAGAGGGCACGTCCCTCTCTTCCTCCTCCCCGGGGTTTTATTAGCTTCTTCATCCTGTCTGCAATCCAGTTAGATTTCCTAAGAGGACGTGGAGGACAGAGGCCATTTACAAAGAGGGATGAGCTGGTGGACTGTGTGTTTTTCTGTAGGAGGGATGCCAAGTGGCTGCATCTTGTTCACAAAAATGCACTATGCATCAGTGTCACCTTACATGAAATTTCAAACTGAGAACAAAATATGTCTCAAGGTGCCAGCTGCCATTTATTTAGGCGAAGAAAGCACTTTGTTACATGACATCAGGACAATTAGTTTGGAAATGTTTTAATTAAAATACCATTACTAACACAAAAAGCACTTCTGTGACACTTGAACAATTTGTACTGAACAATTTAAATCATTAACAGCTAAATTTATGGTACAAAATGCTGATCAGCTGTCCAGTGCATGACAGGTGTGCTTCCTGCGTGGACCGGGTGTTCTGGAAAGTTTATGAACTGAGGTAGATGCACTCCAAAAACAAACAAAAATAATAATCTCAGTACTATGACATGAGTTTGCCATTTTATTTTGTTATTCTAGCAGAATTCACAAAACAACAACAAAAAAACAAGCTTTAAATCCTAGTTTTGGCCATGATGCAGTTGCTTTAAGAAACTATTGTTTTAGGGATAACATACACCGATCAGCCATAACACTATGACCACCTGCCTAATACTGTGTACACAGGAGTCAGTGCAGCAGTTGGTCGGCACTCGTGTCACTCTGCAGCTCACTGTGCATCTTCTGTGATTCTGTTTGCTTCCATAGTTCTACTGTCAGGAAGAGCACAGATGTGTCGACCATTCAGTGAAAAACTTCTCTCAAAGGAGTGAAAACTGTGGTCGTAGGGACAAGTTGGAGATCATTTTTAGGACAGCCTCCCCACTCTAGGTGTGATATCACCTCTATAGCCACTGAATGTTTCTCTTCATAGAGACCAATGTGCAGTATTTTTCATTTTCAACCAGTTTAACTAAACAAAATAGAATCTTTTGAAAAGGCTGAATAAATGTAAAAGTTTAATCTACAGTAGATCAACCTCATTATCAGTGAGCCTTTGGCGTCCGTCACCCTGTCGCAGGTTCACCGTTTGTCCTTCCTTAACACTGTGGTAGGTACTGACCACCGCAGACTGGTAACACCCAACAAGGCCTGCAGTGTGGGAGATGCTCTGACACAGTTGTCAGCCATCACAGTATGGCCCTTGTCAAAGTCACTCAGATCCTTACACTTTCCCTTTTTTCCTGCTTCCAACACATCAACTTTGAGGACTGAATATTCACTTACCGCCTGATATACCCCACACACTGACAGGTGCCATTGTAACGAGAAAATCTGTGTTATTCACTTCACCAGGCAGTGTTACGGCTGATCATGTAAAACAACGCAAGAGAAAAGTGTCAAAAAAAAAGAAAAATATATCTGTGTCACCTGATATGGAGAATAAGACTCATATTAGTTAACATAAGGAGCAATGTACTGTATAATGGAAACTTTCATCAAAAGATTTGTAGAAACATACTGTTCATTCCACTGTAACCTCACATCCTGCTTTGAAACATCAGCATCTGATATAACATATTCTCTATTCAACGGTCACAAGGAGACAACCTAAACACAGTGTGAGACCATCCTTAACAATGACTTGTAAACACAGATGTATTCAGAGCTCAGTGTAAGGAACAAACTTGGCAAAACCAAAGCAGGGAAAATAACTTATTCAATGTCTCTACAACAGTCTGAAAGAAAAGTATTCATTACAATAAAAATGAGTCAAATGAAAAATCACAATTTCAGCTAAGTGGATGCACAGAATTCAGCCGGTCAATCCAAAGCACTTCTCTTTTTTTTCTCATGGAGTGCCACCTCTCAGAACAGACACTTGTTCCAGCCCAACAAAAGGTAATGAAGATGGAGAAGAGAAATAAAATGGTAAACTGAAGGCCAAAGTATTGATATTTTTGTCTTTCTGGAGTGCGGCTATCTCAGTTGATAAGTGCTTTGCAACTGTCATCAGAATGACTAAAATGTAATATCGCTACAATTTTTAAATCACTTTGCAACAATTGATTTTCTTTATCTCTATTCACACACTGTTTTTGGAGCTAAGAGAGAGTGCAAATGCATACACATTTATTCAGGTACATCTGTGCAACAATGACGTGGAACAACCCTACAACAAACTTTGTGAAAACTCAGTGTGGTGTTCCTAACACTATGTACAAAATATTAGGATCACCTTTCATTATAATGCAAAAGAAAAAGGAGCACAAAGTTGAATAAAAGTAGTTGTGTCATAGTACTGAGATTATTATTTTTGTTTGTTTTTGGAGTGCATCTACCTCAGTAGTTCCTCTCTGAAAAATCCAGTCACTCTTAATATTGATTAAGTTTATTAAGTTTATTAGTGATATATAAGACCTGCCCAAATCTGAGTGCCACATTAAAATCTGATTTTCTCCATTGCGTTTGGCTCAACTTAACACACTCATCATTATCCCCCCTGTACTTACATCCTGAATAACCTTGGATCGATTTTTGTCGTTTTACTTTTGAATCTTTTTAAACAGTATTTTCTTTGCTTGTATGTTAACATCTTGTGTGGTGTTTCACAAGTCTGGACACACTTTTCCAGTGAATGGGAAAGAATTCCAAACTTTTGACTGATAGTGTAGCAAACAGCTAGTAGTGTACAGTGGCCTGTTGTGGCTGAGTGAGTGAATGTGGCCGGGCAGCTAAACGGTGAGCTGAAACTCACTATTAAGCTCTGTAAATTTGAGAGGAGCTGCAGATTCAGGTCATAATTTTCTTAAAATTTCTTAATTACTGTATAGCTGCTAAAAATGTACAGTATTATGTGTATGAAATGTTGACTGTAGGGGTATATTACTGCATTGAATTGTATAATAAAGCGGCAGCTCAGTGTATTGGTATATATTTCTAGAGAGTACTTGGCCTTGATGGGTGGAGGCTGCATGCTGGGCTCGAGGACTCTGTACTGATCCATAATCTTCTCCACCAACTTCTGCTTCTCTCGGCGGAGCTCACTCAACTTCTCCCTGGAGGAAAACACGACGCATCAGAACAAGAGGAGGGTGAAGCCAGTGAAAGGTGATGATTCATTTTGTGTATTCATAATCTGCGCAGGTAGATGGGATTGTTCTGGAAGTGCGTATGTACAGTAATGAGTCGGATGGCGTGTTAGTCAATGCGTTCTATGAAGTCTTTCCTGAACTCGATTCTTTGCTGGTGAGCAGAGGGCTTGGGGTTTTGAGCGGCAGCATGGACAAACATAAAGCGGAACATTGTTGAAAAAATGGCCCGAATGTTCAGCCTCTGCTGAATCAAAGACAGCTGAGAATAAAGATACTGAACATAAAGTCACTAACAGTCTGAGCTGACTGTTGGTTACTGACCCACAGCTGTGGGCGGAAAGGTTCAGGGATGTTAGTAGAGATGGGCAACGGTCAGAGATGGAAAAGGAGATGTTTAAATCGGTATTAAAGCCTTTGTACATTTTTAGCAACACGAGTGGCATGGCACTACGGACAGACGTCAGTTTGTTGGTCAGTCCAGCACCTTGGTCCAGACTGATATGTCAACACCTGTTAGTTTGCTGTTAAATTATGAAATACTGTTGTGAAGAGTAACAAAGCAAGTTCTGCTGTGAGAGTGGTGCTGTAGCACTACAATAAGAGCTTTTCTGTTGCTGTAAAGTACCAGTTAGGGAAAGCAAATTCCTGTTATGCATATGGGACTATCTTGCTATAATACAAAAACATGTTTATATAGTAGATGGGAACTTTCAGTAACACACAAGCAACACTGGAGGTTCTGAATAACATTTGAGGAAAAAAAACTGTCCATACACTGAACAAATAAATATATATAAATAATACAGTAAATAAACAAATATATTTATAAGACTACAAACTAATGCAATGTCTAATGAATCTATTAGAATTCTTCTCTATTTTTCTTCTTAGTTGAAGTTATTGTTCTGCACCTGTGCCCACTTTGGGTTGGGTCTGCATATATGTTTTGCCTTTTTTGAGTAAAATAAACTGCTATGAAATCTGAGACAGACATTCACCAAGTCTCCCTCAGAATAAACTGTAAAACCCTGACAGTTTATTTGGCCCTCAAAATGCCCTGAACACATTTTATTCTGAATTTCGGACCTTGGGATGATACTATTTCAGCAAATAATTTGAATGGGAAGAGACTGATGAGACCATCTGGTGGAGATTCAATTAAGGCCTGAAGAAAAACCATAAAACCCTTTATCTACTCAGAAATGGTTTTTAAGAGCCGTGCATTTTTTCCTTGCTCTGAATATTAATCAGTGTAAAAAATTCTGTAGTATCTGTCACTGGTATGTGGCCTGAGGGATGTTTTATCTGATGATGAATTTTTAACAATCATGTGTACTCAGACAAACTGTGCCTTGCATTTTCTGTTTGCTTATTTACACATTATAGAAGTGACAGCATTTGTATTCATTTGAAATTGTGTTTTTGTCAATATGATAAACGGAGATCCAATATCTACTCTACTTTTAGAGTTATCTCAGTGTTACCCTTAAACTTCTTCTGAACTAGATTTAACAATATTTTTTCAATTGTGTTTATCACACTAACATGTTATGCATATTATTTGTCTGCTTGTTTCAAAGATTCTTTGAAGTGATATCACGCCACAATATATGAAGTCTAACGGTCAAAGCCAAAAACCATCCATTATCCAGATATCCCAGCATGCACTGGGTGAGACACTAGCAAACCTACAATGAGATGCCAGTTTCATTGGAGTGCATTATTATCAAATCAATATTCTTTGATGATAAACGGCGTGATACATTAAAATTAATTTGTGGGTCTGAACAATGAATGCCTGTTTAACACACTTGTAATAGAAACCCATCAGTGTTACAGGTACGAGAGGTTAGATCTGAAATGTGCTGTGAAATGACGTTGACATTTAAATCTGTAATTTAAGAAGAAAGTAAAAACCTGTGGAGACACAATTATCTTTTCAAGAATGAGAAAGAGTAAGATGAAGCAATGAAAAGATGTAATTTCTTTAAAATTTGACTCAGACCTGAAGAGTTTTACATGCTCACTGTCAGTTCTGGATTAATCTGTTGCCACTGTATTAGTCATTTAAAGGGTGACTGCTGCATGCTGCTGGACTGTGAAATTGTCATCTCACAGTATCAAGCTTTTATACAAGTGCTTTTATGTATTGGATATGAATACAGTCTGTGTTACTGGCTACAAAGTTAGAAATGTTAACAAATTGCCTTTCCTTTATCATGTATTATATAAAGATTTTATCCAATTTGTTGCTATAATTTGAACAGCAGCATTAAGATACTTTGTTGTTGTGCATCTGATTTCCTCTTCAATCCTCTTGTGTTTTCTTGACAGAATTCCCAGCAAAACAAATGATCTGGTTTGTGAATGTTTACTGACTGGTACTCCCGCTGCTGTGAATAGTGCTGGTCACGGCGCTCCAGGCTCTGCTCCAGTAGGGCCCGGTTCTCCTTCAGCAAACTCTGGTTCTGCTCCGCTAAATGACGGTTTTCCTCCTCCATGTTCCCCTTCAGCTGGGTCAGCAGCTGCACAGGTAAGATAAATGTCAATCAAAATAAAAAGCTTAGGAAGATTCAAATCTACAGTTTTAATTGCATCTAAATGTGTATCTCAGAGCCTAATTAGTCTGTACAAGCCTATCTATGACTGTATTCCCAGGACAGTGTTTGTATAAGTATTAGTGCACATATGCATTCACAGAAAACTGAAGTAGATACAAAACAAATGAAAAAGCCAAAAAAAACTAACAGCTGATCTGCCAATTATCTCTATAAAGGCTGAATAGCAGTTGGCAATACTGTCCAGCATATAATTGGTCAAATTACACAATTACAAAATGCTTCTTTCAGTTCATACACAAATTGTATAACAACTAAATGGACCCTAATAAAAATCATATCCCATACAAAGATCAAATTCATAGATATTATAATCAAACAAGCTTCAACCTACAAACACAGGTCTAATGTCAAAGTCCTCATTCAGTCTATTCGGGGACACTGTGTAAAGTTTATTCTCTCGATCCCCACCCCTTGAAGAAATGGTAACTGTTTCAATACCAAAGTATTTTATAGGACTAACATCATGTTCTGTGTTGTTGAAATGTGCTGCCACCAAACTACTTGGATCCGCATGTCTGATACTAGATAAAAACACAAATGTGGAAAAATTAGGCTAATCAGAGATAGCAGGGGAAGCCAAATCTTTTTTTTTAGCATTATTCTTTTACTAGTTAGTCATTTAAAGAACAGTTTGACATTTCAGAAAAATAAATTTGATTTCTTGCCAGGATTTAAATGAGGGTATAGTAAATATGAAGCAACTGCCAGCTGGTGATTTGCAATCAGCTTAGCACAAGACTGAAAGCAGGGAGCAACGATTAGTGTGGCTGTGTCCAAAGGTAACAGAATCAAGCTCACTAATAAATACCTTTGTTTAATCCACACGAAAACTGAACTGTAAAAATGACAGCTTCTTGTTTTATGGAGTGCTGACTATTTCTTGGCTGGGTGCAGTCTCTTTGCTGTTTGACTTGGCAACTCTTTGCAGCCAAAAATGTTCAGCACATAACCCCAAATGTAACCACAACAATGATACAAAATGTGTATAGTAATGTAGTGGGCTTTAAAGGTGCTGCTCTAACTGGATTTGCATTTTAAGACAGCTAGACAACAGTTTCCATTGTATTCGGCCTCTATGCTAAGCTAGGCTAACTGGCTCCTGCTACATAATTTCCATACAGACATAAGAGTGGTGTCAATCTTCTCATCAGACTCTCAGGAGAAAAGTAACTGACAATGGTAAAAAAACAAATTAATTAAAAAAAAAACAACAACATACACACAGGCTAGGCTGCACATATCTTGAATCCTCCAAAATGTTGTCTCTTTTTGTGCACAAACTCAATTTCACATCTGTCCTTTACCAGGTTTTACAGGACCAGGTGATTCAGGATTGGTTTCATGATCATAATGAGCAACAGAGTGAAACATCTGCTGAGTGACTTCTTAAAACCTCTTTGGGAAGTCAGCTTCCACCTAAATGACTGGAGACTTTCCTGCTTGCAAAACGTATTCAATTTTCAGTGCTTGTTTGTTAACACAAAAGACTAAAGCTGTTCTGATGGAAAAACATGCCCTAACTTCTTATTAGCTACTTGGCATTCATTTTCCTTTTGGATCAATATATAATTTTCCTGATGTGTCAAGCTAAAATTATACTATATCACTGTTCCCCACTAATGTTCCCCAGTCACAGCTATGTGAAATACTCTCTAAGACCTAAAACAAAATCCTAATAAATCTTTTTTAATTGCCTCACAATGCTTTAAATACATTTCTTTATTTGAAAAAGGTAATGCATCTGTGAAGCACTAAATCCTCTTTTTGCATGTAAATGATTGACCTGCATCTTGAATACTAAACTCCTGTGTGTATTTGCAGATGTGCAGCTGCATTCCTGTGTGTGCCTGGTTAATACCTGGTACTGGCTGGTGAGGCGGGCATTGCTGAGGTCCAGGTTCTGGTTGGTTTCCCTCAGGGTGCTGAGATCCCCCTCCAGTCGAGTCCGCTCCAGCTGGGAGGCGTTCAGCTCCCCCTTCAGCACTGAGCCTTGAGCCAGCAGCTCCGCCTGCAGTGCCAGCCACTCCTTCTGTTGGGCCTGCAGCCTGCAACATCGACACACAAAGACTTTATGCATCGCTGTCACTGTTATGTGTCCTGGACTGTGTTGTGTATCATTGTCTGGTAAGTGCTTTCTAACTAAAAAAGTATTATTACAAAAGCTGATGACTCTTCATTAAACCAAACAATAACCAACAGATAAATCCGACATCATCTTAGGCAAAAGGGTTGAAGAACACGTTATGGAGTCACTCTGTGGTTTTACACCACTGCTTACAAAATAGCAGCATCAGAGGTAAGGAGCCATCTTTGTTTCATTTTGTAATGAGCACTGTAATGAGATAAGATGAAACTCCTAATGATCACTGAGGGGGAAATTTGGTAATATTCAGTAATAAACACTCAACATTTTATTAGCCCAGTGTGGATTGAAAGTGTTCTGAATAAAACTTTTTAATGTAAGTTAAAATTGAACCAGTGTACAGCATGGTTCAGTGTTAAACACAACAGCTGCTGTCAATATATTTCCCTTAAGGCTGCACCTAAACTTTATACTCATTATTGATTAATCTAATATTGTCTTGAAAGTGTCAGCAAATACTACAAAATGACAAGTTCTCAGTGCCCAAGGTGACATCTCAAAATGTTTTGCTTTGTCAACAGTGTAAAACCCAAAGGTAATAATCTCTCAATCAAAAAAGACAAAAAATACCAGAAAATATTCACATTTAAGAAGCTGGAATTTCTACTGATTTGTTTTTGCTGGGAAGCAGTTCCAGAAGTCACTCCGCTATACTGTAATTTATTTGGCCAATATTCACTCACTTTTAGCTTGGTTTCTGGTCTTGCCATCTCTAGAGGTGTCTCTATATTTTTGTCCTCCCGAGATACATACACGAGAGGGTCCGAATATTAGGAACACTTCTGATTATAATGTAGTGTAGTACAACATCACCTTTAACTTTGACCTTGATAATAAATATATCATTGAATTTATACATTTATGACAATTTCACCAAAAACTGAAACATTTTGAGTTTCATAAACACAGATGTTAAGGTGGAACTCATGCATTGAACTGCATACCATGGTTTATTTCAGTTACAAAATAGGTATAATAGACATTTCTAAATACATGGACATGTATGTTTTATATTTGGATGTTTTTCACTTGTGTGTCATATGGCAACTGAAAAAGAGGCCTTGCTGTTTCCAGATTGACAATCCATCATTTCAGACAGTCAGCCAGTAATCAATTGCATCAGTATGATAATGAAAACCTGGTTGATTGTCTAATTATGGTACACAACTACCTTATGATTGTCATCATCATCATTATAAACCCACCACCCCAATGAGGAAATGTAATCAGAAGCAGTATCGGTTTTAAATCCTGTATCTTAGCAAGACTTGTTTGAGGCTTAAATACAAACAGGACATGTGATCAGGACGGCATTAAAAATGGACACATGGAGTTTATTCATGCAGAAGGCTACAGCTTTGTTTCTTTGTTTCTGGAAACTAACCTTGAAAATTGTTTTGCTTTTACTTGCTCCACTGCTCTGTTTTTTTTTTTTTGTTTGTTTGTTTGTTATTTTGTGCTCTGAGCACAAAAGCCCTAAAGCCTTAAATTGGCAACACCACCACACTGTGTATTCCTATATTACATTTGCATTCGAACTGATCCCAGTGCTGCTTCCTATAGAAGTATTGCTGCTGCTGCTCCCTGTATTCAAATGAAGCGCAACGAGAGGAGGCAAGTGAAAGGGATGATCAGAGCTCATGAATGCGATGAAGAAGCCGACTGGATTTGCTACCTCTCATTGTCGTCTTTCAGTCTTTCCAGCTCTCGTTCTCTCTCCAGTCTCCTCTGCACTTCTGCGTTCATCTGCGCTCTCTCCATCTTTATCTCAAGCTCTCTCTCCTCCAGCTGGGTTTTACCATCCAGGAGCTCCTTGTACCTTGAGATCACAAAACATTCACCACCACAAAAAAAAAAAAGACTTGAAATTTATGACAGAAAGAGAAGGTGTGCATCTTGAAAGGGTTCGGTTTATGTTAGCAGGTTTGTGTTTCTGTTCTCGGAGACCTGAAAGTCCTCACAAAGATACAAAAATACTCACAATTACCTACAGTCAATACTCTTTTTCCCTTGATAAAAGAACCTATTCTAAACTGCGGTCAGTTTTTTGTACCTGGCCTCCAGCTCCCTGTGCTGGGCCTCCAGACTGCGGTTGTTGTTCCTTAGTTGAGAGTGTTTGTCCAGCAGCTCCTCCAGCTCCACCTCCTGACGCTGCTGCAGCACCATCATCCGCTCATGGTCCCGCCTCAGAGCCTCCATCCTGGCCACCGACTCCTCTCGCTCCCGCGCCCACACCTTGGACTCAGCTTCCAGACCTGCACACCGTGCCTCGCTCTCGCTGCAGCGCGTCAGCACTGCTGCATGCTGGGAACTCAGGGAAGCTTGCTCCACCTGTGTGTATATGTAATATGTAGACCTTTGTTTTATAAAAATACTACCATCGACAGAGCCACACCACTAGCACTGCTAAGAACATAGTGTTTCCCCACCATTAAAGCAGTGTGGCGACCCGATAAAGTAATAAATCCTTAAAGTATGTCCAAAGCCCCTGCAAAGGTTGCAATGTTAAACACTTGCCCATTTGCTCTAAAGTAGGTGGGCCAAATTATTAAAAGCAATGTAAAAGTGAAGGTTTCCTTTAAATACATTAAAAAAAGATTTCTCCCAAGTTAAACAGTTTCAATCATGAGCCTGCTCCCTGTGTCTGGTCACCTGTAACTGGGTGTTGAGTGTCTGTAGACTGGTGCAGGAGTCCTGCAGGCTGAGGCAGTGCCGGCGCAGAGCCTCCAGCTGCTCCTTAAGGTGCTCGCATGCCTCCTGGGACTGGGACAACCGTGACTGCAAAGCCCCCCCCCCAAAACCCGCCACTGCTTTCTGAGGGAGAAAAAAATGTTCATATTGAGAGAGCATCCACCGCTGCATTAGAAGATAGCTACCTTTGGCACAACACACACACACACACACACACACACACACACACACACCACTGGAATTATCCATATTATTTAAACTTCAAATGAATCTGCAGCCGACCTTTCAAGGCACTTAGTTACTGTAGGCAGCAGCGTTATATGGCATTTTAGTTATTCTATAAATACAAAGAGGAATTTATTCTGCGTGGGACTGAGTTTGCAGAAATGTATAATATACAGTAAAGGTGGAGAATATGTACTACTAGTCCACATCTGCTGTTTACCTGTATATTTATGGCAAAGTAAGTGGAATCTGCACAGACATTGCTTTGCTAATCAGCACAATTCTCTGTGAATAAGTGTGGAATATGGCGAGTGGGAATTATGACAAATAGAATGGCCATTTTACCCAAACCTATCATGAGTATGCATTACACCAAAACTCAGCTCTACACCCACTACACATGAATCTATTGAACATTTTTGTGAATACTGACATGGGGACACCACATTAAAGTGTGTATCATTTAGAGTTTTTTGTTTACATTTCCTGCCTTCTCTTCTCTCTGCTGATCACAGTGGTATATGTACATTTACTCCAATAGTGAACTTAAGTATCATTTTAAGGAACTTGTAATCAAGTATTTCCATTTGATGCTACTTTATATTTATTTACTACATTTCAGAAAAAAATATTGTTCTTCCCAATCCACTACCTTTATTTGGAAGCTATAGTTGTTAGTTGTCAATTTGGATTTTACAGTAAAACATGGGGAACTCGTGAAAGAAATAGTTAAAGATTAAAGCGGTACTGTGTGTGACCGTGACATGATGAACTTACTATGTTATCAGGTCAAACCCAGAGTGATTTCCCCTTTAAAATTCTCACATGGCTTCATATAAAGTGTCTGAAGTGCAAAAGGGTTAAATTATCCAATATCAGATCATTAACAACAAAGAGAAGTCTAAAAAAAAAAAAGTCTGAACTTGTGTGAAATCTCAACAGTGATAAAACTGTGACAAGGCATAGATTTGACTTTTCCCGATGAGCCCCCCTTTTGTGGGTAATAATGTTTTTGCCCACTCACCCACCACCATACACATCAGTTATATTTAGCTGTTGCCATGTGCCCCCGATTTAACTCCAGCACCCCTCCAGGGGTCTCTCACCCCAGTTTGGGATCCACCGGATTGGGGCAAGGGTATAAAACAGTTTCTAAAGCTTTGAAAGTTCTCAAGAGCACAATGGCCTCAATAATTGTGAAATGCAAGAAGTTTGCAAAAAGTAGAATGATGCACTTATGCACCAGTATTAACAATATAACAGTGTCATATAATCAAACTGTTTACTGGATCTCACAGGAGCTATGTGTCAGCACTTTTTTTATTTTATTTCCGGTGTTAATACTATAGGTACATTTTGCTGATAACACTGGTGTACAACAAACAAACCTGTATTGGTATGGATCACTGAGAGGGACCGGGAGTTAAACTCTAAAGATGTTAGCGCTTTGCTTCATCTATCCTAATCTAAAACGCATGGCAATGCATCAAATGAAATTCCTGACCTTGGTGTTGCTGAAGCCACCCCTTACAACTTGATGTGAGTTTTATTTGTGTGTGTGTGTTTGAGAAAGAAAGAAACAGTAGGAGCTGAAGCAAGAGAGCAACAGAGGAGATAAGGAAGATTAACAGTAGCTGAGGTGACATTATAAAAACTGATGAGCAGAGATAAAGCTGCAGTTCTGGAAATAAAGTGCTGCACTTGGGGAAGTGGCGGTCTACAGCGGGTTGATAGTTGTTAAGCATCACTACAGCACAAAATTCAGCATAATACAGATCATCTCCCTCATGCAGAAGATGCAACAAACCACACATACAAACAAGTTATACCCATAGTAATATATTCAAACCCACCTCTTTTTCCAGTTCTATCAGCCTCTCACTCAGATGCCTCTCTGTCTCTCCTGTGGCATAATCATGGGTCACGGAAAGGTCATAACCTTTGCCAGCTTCAGGGGATTGATCCAGGGGTGACGTCTCCTGGGTGTGTGCCTGACAAACGTGTGTTTTGTTCGAGTCTAAATTTGAATTAGATGTAGTGTCCACCTCTGCGCTTCCTCTTCTCTTTTCCAACTGGAGAGGAGATTGACTTTTCTTAAGGCACTGAGAGAGTGACTCTATTCTCTCCTGTGATTGCTTGAGGGAATTGGTGACTGTCTTTATTTCTGCCTCAGCTTTTTGTAGCTTCTTGCTCAGATGTTCAACTTCAGTGGACAGTTCCCGCGAATGTGCCTGCTCATTAGACAGGTCCTGATGAGACAGAGAAGGGAGTGCAAAGTGCAAAACAGCCATTTGCCATTTTATGTGCTGGACTCCTTCTTTATACATACATACATACATACATACACATACACACACACACACATACACAATCAGTATAATCAAACACAGCTGGACTCAAATGAAGGTGTAGAACCATCTCAGGGATGATCAGAAGAAATGGACAGCACCTAAGTTAAATATATGAGTGTCACAGCAAAGGGTCTGAATACTTATGACCATGTGATATTTCAGTTTTTCTTTTTTAATAAATCTGCAAAAATGTCAAAAATTCTGTGTTTTTCTGTCAATATGGGGTGCTGTGTGTACATTAATGAGGAAAAAAATGAACTTAAATGATTGTAGCATATGGCTGCAATATAACAAAGAGTGAAAAATTTAAGGGGGTCTGAATACTTTCCGTACCCACTGTACAGTGCCTTGCGAAAGTATTCGGCCCCCTTGAACTTTGCGACCTTTTGCCACATTTCAGGCTTCAAACATAAAGATATAAAACTGTAATTTTTTGTGAAGAATCAACAACAAGTGGGACACAATCATGAAGTGGAACGAAATTTATTGGATATTTCAAACTTTTTTAACAAATAAAAAACTGAAAAATTGGGCGTGCAAAATTATTCAGCCCCCTTAAGTTAATACTTTGTAGCGCCACCTTTTGCTGCGATTACAGCTGTAAGTCGCTTGGGGTATGTCTCTAACAGTTTTGCACATCAAGAGACTGAAATTTTTGCCCATTCCTCCTTGCAAAACAGCTCAAGCTCAGTGAGGTTGGATGGAGAGCGTTTGTGAACAGCAGTTTTCAGTTCTTTCCACAGATTCTCAATTGGATTCAGGTCTGGACTTTGACTTGGCCATTCTAACACCTGGATATGTGTATTTGTGAACCATTCCATTGTAGATTTTGCTTTATGTTTTGGATCATTGTCTTGTTGGAAGACAAATCTCCGTCCCAGTCTCAGGTCTTTTGCAGACTCCATCAGGTTTCCTTCCAAAATGGTCCTGTATTTGGCTCCATCCATCTTCCCATCAATTTTAACCATCTTCCCTGTCCCTGCTAAAGAAAAGCAGGCCCAAACCATGATGCTGCCACCACCATGGTTGACAGTGGGGATGGTGTGTTCAGGGTGATGAGCTGTGTTGCTTTTACGCCAAACATAACGTTTTGCATTGTTGCCAAAAAGTTCGATTTTGGTTTCATCTGACCAGAGCACCTTCTTCCACATGTTTGGTGTGTCTCCCAGGTGGCTTGTGGCAAACTTTAAACGACACTTTTTATGGATATCTTTAAGAAATGGCTTTCTTCTTGCCACTCTTCCATAAAGGCCAGATTTGTGCAGTATACGACTGATTGTTGTCCTATGGACAGAGTCTCCCACCTCAGCTGTAGATCTCTGCAGTTCATCCAGAGTGATCATGGGCCTCTTGGCTGCATAAATTCTGTGTTTTTCTGTCAATATGGGGTGCTGTGTGTACATTAATGAGGAAAAAAATGAACTTAAATGATTTTAGCATATGGCTGCAATATAACAAAGAGTGAAAAATTTAAGGGGGTCTGAATACTTTCTGTACCCACTGTATATAAAGTATGTTCTCCACATAAGCTAAGAAGGCTGGGTTTCAGTGAATTAACCCTCCTTTCAGCAGTGCTTATGATTAAACTACCATTTCTCTCTCTCCACACACACACACACACACACACACACACCTGGGACAGTGAGCTAATCTTGGCCTGAGCATCTGTGTACTGCTCCTGCAGCTGCTGTTTACCCTCCTCCATACTGGTTACTCGAGTGCTGAGCTCTCTCTCCAGGTCCTGCAGCTGAGTGCAGAGCTCCTTGGACTCTGACAGCTGCTGACACACATGTCTGCACACACACACACAACATAGGTCAGACAGAAGGTTGAATGAAGATAGAGCTGACGTTATAGATAAAGTCATGGTGCAGCCAAGTGGATCTCTCTGATGCATTGTAAAGTTAATTGCAAACCTCAGCTGGTGATCAAGGTTAACTGTGTGTACAGCAGTGTGTGTGTGTGTTTGTGTGTGTACACCTGTGTTCTGCGTCCAGAGCCCGAGCTCTTTGGTTGCTGTGCTCCAGGGCCAGGGTCGTGCTCTCCAGTTGCTGCCTCAGCCTTGCTATCTCCCTTTCCCTCTGCCTCCCCTCCTTACGTTGGACGTTCAGCTCCGACTGACACACCTCCTTCTCCTGCTCCAGCCGCGATGCCTCCAGCAGCGCCTGGTCACGTGCCCGGGCCAGAGATTCGACCTCCAGAGTCGCCTCGCGGAGCTCTGCCTCCAGCTCCACTTCCCGACGACGAGAAGTCTCCAAACTCCGCCCCTGACGTTCCAGCTCCAACTTGAGAGTCTGAGTGGTGAGCTCTAACTGGTCACCCTGGGAAAACACAAAAAGGATGACTAATGCCATTTAGAGTCTTACTGATCACTTTAATTGCATTAGATAACTTTATTGATCCCTAGAAGTGAAGCTAGTTTGGTCACCCATGCACAATGACAAATAAAAAATTGATTACAATATACAAAATAACATCAGTACAAATACAAACATGTAACAAGAGATTAGTGTAGCTCAGGTCCCCGCTTAAAAATTTTATGTAAACACAACTGTAAATAATAAATAAAGACCGACAATAATGATGCACTTAAAGATGAGACTAGTAAAACAGGCAATAAATATGAAAAGAAACATTAAAAATGAACAAAGAAACACACTAATAAACTCTGCAAAGTTCCAACAGAAGCAGAGAGGATGCTGACAAGCTGGCAAACACTGAGGTTTCAAAATGTTCCAAAAAATGGGCTTTGCAAACATTTTATGAGAAAGGCAGTGAAGCCAGTGCATTTGTTAGGCCTCAGTGATACAGGTTTTGGTGAGTAAGAATGAAACACCACAGGGCACATTTAACTCCCACTTAAGCGACAGTTTCCTCAAGGATAAGAGTCACAGCTGATAAATTAAATCAATCTTTCCTTCATTTCCAAGGATTCTATTTTTTTCTCTATGAATTGAGCAAATTAAATGGCCAAGTCAACACACTAGTGTGATTATGTTTCAGTACAGAGTATTTCAGTAAATCCACCGAGCAACAAGGAAGCAAAAAAGGAGAAAGAGGATGCAGATGAGGTGTAATTTCCTATTTGGTTTTGATCCACCCCCTACAGCCGAGACAAGCAGAATGAACTTCATGTTTCATTTAACACGCGCTGTTAAAAATGCCATTAAGTCAGACTCTTTCTCATTCTGTTGGTCATAATATGAATCCCTTTCCCAACCCCAACTGTAAACTAGACATTCTAATAAGTAAATGAAACAAACAGCTTCTACTTGGTGCTGACTGTGTTGATATTTGAACTTAAATGATAGTGCAGCATCTTCTCTGCTGTAACATTTAGAGTGTGAAATGTTGTCTAATTAAAGTCATGCTCTGCTGTTTTTTTTAAAGCTTAGTCTGATGTGCTGTAATCAATAATATTGTGCGTATTCACTGATAGAGGAGTGGAATCGATTGCTCTGATATACTATATATTGGGACCATATACTAAAACAAGGCCCACTCTCTTGGAATCATATGGCTGGTGGCTTCACGACACACACACACATTTATTTTTAACAGGTCAATTTTTTTGTTTAATTTGAAAGCTGAAACATCTGTAAATAAAAAGATTTTTTTTTTTTGGCACTACTGGGTGTATTTTAAAGATATGTACAGTAAAGTTGTGGTGAGTGCAGGTACAACAGCCACAATAAAGGATCAAGTCTTTATAAAAAGCAGGTGGGGAACACAGACGAATATTACAACATCAGAAGAATGATTATGCACAATGCTCTCTGAATGGGAGGTATTCATGAGTTCTTTTATGGTGTTTCTTTAATGCTGACTTAGCACTGCTCTTTTCCTTAGCTTGCAATTTCTCTAATGTCTTGCAATTTTTCTTATGTCTTGCAATTTTACTGCAAATAGCACATAATACATAGTGTTCACAAAGACTTCCACATCCTTCAGCAGAGTGAGTGAAAAGGTTCATTTCTGGTTGATTTGTCCTTGAAAGTACATTTAGGGAAATGCACTAAATGTGTTTGACCTGTAATCTCTCCGTTGAGTGTAGAAAGGATTCTTGTCAATGTGTGGATGTCACAGTACAAAACAGGCTTGCTCGCTCAGTCCTGGGTGGGTGTAACATGTCACTTCACTCTCAGTTAACTTGAATCATCCATTTGATTTCATGTTGTCAAATCGGCCTCTTGTTGAACAGTTTGCCATTGCAAAAATATTAGTTTTCATATAAATGAGAGGGATGGTGAAAGAAATTTGTTTGGCAGGTCGAACCCCAACCAATTTTTTTTATGTGATCAAGTAACTAAAGAGATTACACAATGAGATTGGCTGTGAAAAACAGAATTAAACTTCTGTTACTGAGGGTTTGTGTTACATCACAAAACTCTGTTCCCTGTCATTTGGTGGTTACGGTTTTGTTTTTTATCTACCCGTCGCCTATCTTCCCTGAAGTAAAGTGACATCTGCCATCTTCATGAAAATGTTTAGTGTCACAGCTGTCGTTACAACATGTGTGTGTTTGTGCATGTGTACTCTCCAACCTTGCGCTGGGCGGTGCGCAGGGCATCCACAGTGCTGCGCAGCGTGTCCCTGTCTCTTTCCAGTGTAGCCCGCTCTCCTTCCAGGGTGGCGATCACTGTGGTCTGCATCCTGTGAAGCCCCGCTTGGCTCCGGAGGCGGGACAGTTCCTCCTCCAGGGCTAGACCCTCTGACTGAAGAACCTGAGAAAATTAGAAAATTCATTGAGCTGTAGAACTGTCCATCTATCCATAAAGACATCTGTATGTACCAGATGCCAGTTTATTAGGTACACCAGTCTAGTATAACAGTCCTCCAATAAATCCTCCCTTCATGAGGATTTTAATGCTCAGTTTTTGTTGAAACTGTTGTTTTGAGAGCTGCTGATTCAACTGCAGGGTCATTTTGCAGTCTGCAGTTTGTAGTGTTGTTGTGTATTGCATTTCTATCAACGTGTATATGGAGCAACTTATACTGGAACTAAACAGTCTGACTCTCACCTTAAGCATAACACTTTTTATCCAAGTCTTATAGCTTGCTATAATTTCCTATGAACAAAACTGATATAACTGTAAATTAATAGAGAAGGACAATGTAATTTCATAAACCTTATGGGGAAAATAGCAGTAGCACTCAGATAGTACACTTCCCATTAATTCCAGTTTTTACCTCCTGTACTGAAGTACAGCCAACATAGTTTCCAAAGCAGTTTTAATATCGGTCTTTAGTGGGTATAATATCATGTATCATGTTGAGAAACTGTTAACTGTTACATTTATTCACTTAGTATTTCCCTAATTCATCCCTCCCACAAACTACATATCCATGACTTTAATATCCCTATTAGAATTTCATTTAATGCCCAACTAAATCAGTCATACATTTCTGTGTGTCTTTCAGACTTGCCATAGACTTCCATCCATACCTCTATCTGCCTGCGGGCCTCTCCCAGACTCTCAGCAGCTTTCTTCAGGTGCTGGAGCTCGGCCTCAATGACCACCAGCCTCTGCTCAGCCTCCCAGCTTTTCCTGCTCTGCTCCACCAGCTTGGAGCGCAGGTCCTGGGCCACAGTTGCCAGCCTGTCAGCCTCCTCCTGTGCCTCCTGGAGCTGGTTTGTCAGAACCTCCACGTTAGCACCAGACGAGGAACATACAGCATGGTCTGCAGATGTGGCCTCTGTACTATCCTTGCTGTTTTTTGGGTGAGTTTGGATCTCAGAGCTTGTTGTTGTTGTTGTTGTTGCAGTCTGTTCTTTCTTTATCTCACTTTCTTTCTCCTGTTTCTCTCTGTCTTTCTGCCCTCCCTCTGCCTCTCCTCTCGATTTGGGCTTGATCTCCTTATTACATGTTACTCCTTTTCCCCCTTGAATGTGGAGAACCTCTTCACCAACTCCCGCTTCCCTCTGTGTCCCAATAATTTCTCCTCCTTTCTCCCTCTCCTCCATCATCCTCACCCTTCCTTCCCCCTCTCCCCTGCAGAATTCAGAGCCCTGGACTCCTCTTTCCCCCTTGTCCTCCTCACTGTCTGGCATCCTCTCTCCTTCCTCTTTCCCCTTGTTTTCTTCGTGTTGCAGTTTGGTAACCAGCTCTTCCAGGTGTTGCTTCAAAGTGGCATTTTCATTCTTCAGGTTTTGGAACTGAAAAGTATAATAGGTATATGAATAGAATATGATTTTCAAAGCTTTGAATCTCCTGCTTTTGATTTTTTATGTCCCTGTTTTCTCTCTTTTGATCATTCCATCTATTAAACATGAAAAAACTTGGATGCACTGTGAACAAAAAGACTAAACCACCTCTTGTTCTTTCTCAAAATACATCCAGGTTTATTTCCAGGAAGTAAACAAGAAGTAAAATTAAAAAATGATATAAGGATACATACAGACAATTAAAAAGTAATACATATGTTTTGATTGGTTATAAAAAGGTACTCCTCTATACACATAACCACAGAGGCATTTGAACAGTTCACACTGAGCAGTCTGAACAGAATATCAGGCAGAAGGTGTCAAAGATAATGGTACAATCCAGAGAATATATGGAACACAGTGTAAAAAAAGGTTTTCATTGATCTGTGTGAATATATGGATGATCTCATGTCCCACCACCATATTCCATACTCTTTTGGAAATGTTTACACAACAGTCCACTCAGTTTTTGCACTTTATCATTACTATGCAATCTTTAGTTCCCTGTCTACTCACCTCTCTGACTGTGTTCTGATGCTCCATCTCCAGGCAAGCCAGCTCACCCTTTGCATCTGGCAAATCCACCTGCAGTAACAGGAGATGGATGGTTATATGCTCTAACTGTTGCTTCCTGCTTTTCCTGATTTAGACTCGGAGATAACAGGTCTGCTACTATTTCATCAAACATTCTTGATTGAAATGATTCTTCCAGTCATCATATGATGATCATACTAATTTAACAATACATGGAGGCATATGTAAACTATATATTATAAAGTTAGACTTGTGTTTCTAAAGCATCCAATAACATTCATTACTTACGTACTAGAATTTGTTTGCTTATGACCAACTTTGACTTTTAACCCTCAACAGGTGAGAAACAAACTATTATAGATTAATATGTAAGTCATAACCATTGATCCTTGAACTCTGACCTCCTGTTGGGCCTGCAGCTCCTCCAGTCGTCTCCTTAGCTCTGCGTTCTCCTGTTCTGCCCCAAGCAGCCTCAGCGTCGAAGCCTCGCCCACTTCCACGCTTAGTGGCTTCTGATCTGAGACAGAGGGCGCAAGAAATAAAGAAGAAAGCAGGAAAAACATGAGAGGAATAGAGGCAAATAGGCAGAAAAGAGAAATGCATACATGAAGAGATTCATTCAGTTATTACTGATAACCTATGGGCCAGTATTACTTCAACATACATTCTCTTATCAGTTAATTAAAATGTCTTGAGTGACAAGGTGTACATAAGCAGGTGCTCTGACCAATCAGGTCGCTCAGCTCCTCCTCAGAGTCCAGTTCTGATTGGAGGAAACGTTGATGAGCAGCAGCAACCGAAGCGGCAACACTGCCACCGCTGCTGCGCCTTAGGTCCGCCTCGAGGCTCATGTTCATCTCCAACAGCTCATCAACTCGCTGCCTCTCAGTGTCCCGTTCCTACACACACACACACACACACTCTTCATTACTGGGAAAATAGACTTCAAGGAGAACAAGCAAACATAGACAAATAGTTTTCATTAACTGCTCATCTTATGACATGAGTACATATGCAAACACACAGAGTTCATAAGTAAGGATGGCAAAGTCCATATGAAACTATCTGTAAACAAAACATGTCCAGTACCACACACATTTAGATAAACACAAAGACAAGCACACAGACTCAAAAATAAAAACACGTGCACATTCATGCAGAAAACCATGCCTGCTAATAAACAGACTAATACAAAAATACACATCATCGCTCCACCCACTGCTTCCACATCCATGATTTTGTGACGCAGTAGAAGGTTGTCCCTCTCCAGCTCCCTTAGCGAGGAGCAGCGCGCCCGAGCGTCAGCCAGCTGTTCTTCCAGGAGAGTTTTGGTCTCCTGCAGAGCTACACACAGCTGCTCTTGCTCCTGCAGGGGGTGTCGCACATGAGAGAGGAAAATTATATGATGAGGTGGAGTTGCCATCATATCAATCAGACTTTAGTGGACAAATAGAGCAAATATTTGCTGAGAGAATGACACTGTTTATGTCTTTTGCTGCTGCAGCTCTCAAAGCTCATCAATCTTTGACTGACATTTGTCTGCACCAGCACACACACTGGTTACAGTTTACTTTGTTCTGTAACCACTTCCTCTAACACACCACGCCTGTTACTGTGCATTTCTAAGAATGTATTTGATAAACCCAAATATTTTCCGCTATTGTTTTATATGAGGAGAGAAATATTACAAAAGTTTAATTATTATTTGATTCCATTTGGGTTTTTTTTGTTATATATTCATTACATAAATCACATTACAGATTGAAAGATGAATTATGTGTCTCAATATACATGAATGTTGAAAGAAGCTCCGGGACTCAAGAGTTTCCAGTTCAGGTAGTTTACTTTGATAAGCTCAAGTGAGATTAATAGCGATATAGAAAGATCAATATAGACACTTAGATGTCACACCCTTCCCTTCCCCTACTCTCTCTCCTCACTCAACTGTACCCTACAGGTGGTACTTATAGTGGCTAGAGAAATCCTTAGCATCTGTATGCTGAATCTAGCCTATTCTAGAGAGCAAACAGAGAAGGAGAGAGAGGCCACCAACATGCTCAACAAGTTTTTAGTCTATATAGACCAAGGGCACTGATGATCATTATAATAATAATGATAATCACTTTTTTTGGCCAAGTATGTTATACACACAAGAAATTTGTCTCCGGTACAGAATCAAGGCAGCCATCAACAGCACCAACTCACACACACCAATGGCAGCACTGTCCCGGCCACTGGGGACAGTTTTGGGTTCAATGTCTTGCCCAAGGACACGTTGACATGTGGACTGCAGGCACCGTGAATCGGCTCTCCAACCTTCGGGTTGGGAGACGGCCACTCTACCCCTGAGCCACAATGTGTCCATATAATTAAGTGCTGAAAGTCGTTCCATTTCAAAGATTAAAAAGGATCAAATGCTCAGCATCTAGCCAGCCTTAGTCATGGCACTCAATAGTCAATATAAACCCAAAATGACTTGCATCACAAATGCATGAATTTCAAAGTATAATTCTGGTCACATTTTTGTAGTTTTCACCTTTGTTATCAATAATAATAAAACTATACTCATCCAAGTACATGTGGAGATGTAGAAGCACTACAGAATTACTAAAATGACAGGGCAGGAAACTCGAGCAGGCTGTAAGCTGGTTGTAAACAAAGCAACAATTTACAGTGATTATCTAAACCACTTTATTTTTAAAGTAAAATCGAAACCATGAAAAATTCAATGAGAAAACCTTCAATTTGAATTTATAAATTTTGATTATACTACCAAACACAAGAAAAGAAATCATCCTTCCAGTTAATTTTGGCTATCAATGGGAAGCCGTATGATGCCAGAAAAAATCTAACGAGACTGAGAAGGTGACAGTGAGGACACTGTGGGGTGTTTTACAGGGTGATAAGCTAATTGTTTTGCCTCAGAACCACAGAACAAATCTCATTTGTGTGTAGTAGCCGCTGTAACTAAAGCCGTACTCCCACTCTTTGTCAATGAAGCAGATCCAAGGTGTAAATACTGATGACATCATTCACTATAGTCTCATTCTCTGTGCTCTGAGATTCAGAGTTGTTTGTGGCACTCCTAAAACATGCACGGCCATGAGACGTAATGTACAGCTTTTGAGATGAAGTGGTACAAAAGTGGTATAAAGTAATAGGTGCCCAGAGAAACATTTTAAAAAGAGTATCTTCTTCATTTGACCTTTGCTGGTAATGTTTGCACGAGGGCCCTGCTTTGTAAAGTGTGTGTGTTTAAGGCACTGTGGATATGTTTGATTTTGTACTATTTGGGTGATTTTTACATGATGATAGATGTAGCTATGCTGCTTGTTCTCTTTCTGATGTAAATTACTTATTCACAAGTGTGCATAGTTTGCAGTGTCTGTGTGTGTGTTTACCTTCAGCTGAGTGCGTGTGAGCTCCAGGCTGCGCAATCTGTGTTTACAACTCTGAAGCTCAGTCTGGAGCTGCTCAGCTCGTGCAGCTCGCTCTCGGGTACAGTCCAACTCATCCCGCAGTGCACGCATGCCCCTCACCTCACCCTGCAGAGTACGGTTCTTCAGACACACAAACACACACACACACACAGACATTCATATACCAGTGGGAATGAGGTCAACAAAGGTTGCAAACACATCTGGGATGTGCAATAAAACAAATGTTGACAAAGTCTGATAAAGGAAGAAGGAAATGTGTTTTTGTGTGTGTGTGTGTGTGTGTGTGTGTGTGTGTGTGTGTGTGTGTGTGTGTGTGTGTGCTCACACGGGTGGTTGTGTCTGTGTGTACCTGTATGGCCAAAAGTGTGAGGACCAGTTTGAGTTTTATTCCATGGAAGTGAAGACATTTTAGCTGGTCCCCACTTTCTCACACCCTTTCAAAGAGCTGTTTGAGGGTTAAGACTTGGTTTTAGCATTAAGGTTAGTATTAGTTTTAGGTTAGATGTTAGGGGAAGGGTTGGGGTTAGGCATTTAGTTATGATGGTTAAGTATTAGGGGAAGGAGCTAGGGAATGCATTATGTCAATGAGTGTCCTCGCAAAGATATAAGAAATAAAAACATAACCTTACATCAGCAATTTGCAGTGTTTGTTTCTACAAGCTCGTATTGTAAAGTTAGTACTAGGACGTGGTTCATATTAAGGTAAGAGTGTGGGGAAAGTATTCAATAATTTAAAGGAAGATAGTCCCTTTTTTGTTTTTCACCAAATAACAGCCTCAAATCCCAACACATTGAGATTGGTGATATGATCAAATCTGAAAGTGTAGATACTTGTGAGTATATAGATAAAATAAGAATGAGGAAGGCTGCACTGAGTGCTATGGCCTTATATGACCTTTCATTAAGTTTAGTTCTGCTCTGATTATAAGGGTTTAAACTGTCAACTTCACCTAGAAAATAGCATGAAGTAGCATTGTTGTTCAGGCCAAAACAGTACATGGCTGTAGTGTGTACAGTGCAGCTGCTCATCTGTTCCCTAGGAGGAATAGACTTACTGGCTATTAAAAACCACCTGTGTTTGTTGCTGTTGGCTGTGCTGTATCTATTTTATGAATACAGAGAATTTTAGCCATTTACTAATTTGTTTTATGTGTGATAAAGTGTTTTTGTGTTTCCAAAGCAAGGACAAGTCATGTCAGTGTCATGCCTCAGTAAAGACCTTGGTCCTGTGACTGTACCTCTTTCTGAAGTTTATTGAGCTCTCCCTCCATGGTTTGTATTTCCTGCTTGTAATCCAGTATTTGATCACCTTTATCATGCCTATAAGTCAAATCAAATATAAACCATTAGCATTAAAAAAGCAATTAAATGATTTTTCTAAATCATATTGTGCTAATTTTCTGTTTTTATATGACCCCTATCAGTGTTACTTTGGCTGATAAAAAATAAAAGCAGATTATGGAAAAAACTATTTAAAATAAAGGATATGTAGAACCAAAAATTACAACTGGCCAGTAGTGACCTGTATTATATAGTCTGCAGTGAATGCACAGACTGAATTTGTGCCTTACTCACCACTGATAACAACTCAGTTTTGTTTATTATAAACTCTGACAAAATTATTTGTTCATTTTTCATGTTGACCTTTATCACAGCTCTTCTAAAAGTACTTTGAGTTTTTGTCTGTCATACTTGCATATACACACTCACAGTTGTTGTTTAAGGCGACGGAGTTTGGCCTTGCTGTCTGCCAGCTGGAGTGCCAGACCTTGGGGTGGCTCCTCAGTGAGACCACCCAGAGGCATTGTGGTTGTGTCAGCATGGGTGTCCCGCTCGCGACACAGCTCTGCTATCCTCTAGGCGTTACAAGGGCAGTAGATGTGACAAGAGACAAAGAGGACAGAGAAAAAAAAAAAGATTTGGAGACATGCAAGAAAAAGGATCAGAGGGTTATATGAACTAAGAAGCAACTGGGAAAAAAATTTGCAAGTGTTAGATCCTCAAAATTTAAGACCTGTTTAAACCTGTTTATGTTGCACTGACTGCAGATACAGTTCATTATAGCGTTTATACACCTCTGGGGCTCGAAGCTTTTTGGTGTTCCACAAAATAAATGTAAAATTACTTTTCTATGTCATTTTTCTCAGTGGTCTATGTAACATTGTCCATGACACTACAACACAAAATTCAGTTTTACGTGGTTATATCAAATAAAGGAGATTAAGGTGGGTCCTTGCACTGAGCACATTAAGGCCGTAACTCAAGGCTTATTTTATTCATTGTTCAAATAAAATATTTATTTTCATAATGACTTTTGATCCAACAACACCTGGAAACAGATCTCAATGGAAATGCAAGACAAGGTCACAACAAGCTCATATATGAATTAACAGCTAGAGTCCAGGTCTTCACATTTTACAAACAAAAAAGTGCTCTCCATAGTATATCCACAATACTTTTACTGTCTTTTTTTGTTTAAACTGTAGAGACAAGCAGCTGTTGTTCACCGATGTGCATTTTAATTTTCATTCATTTTTAAAGACTTCCATGGACCAAAAGCAATTCATTTTTAAACCTCAAATTCCACCATATAATCATGTTTTCTGATTTCTATCCTACAGCCTATTCAACTGCAATGCCATTTTTCTATCAGCTTTGGTTAATTAAAAGGCAAAACTACTGTGAGCTGTAGATAACTACAAACTGAGAATGAGCAGCAATAAGTGCTGCACTTAGTTATGCATGTCCTTATTTTCAGTTAATAAAATGTATAACTTCATAAAAACAAAGACTTATTAACATGTAATATCTTGTTTGATCACTATGTACTAAGGTAAAAATGTGTAAAAATGTTGTGATTCAGTTTTAGAGGTGAGTATATTTTGTTACTTTTGAACAGAGCCAGGTTAGCAGCTTCCCTGTTTCTAGCTTTAACCTAATCTAAACAAGCTGTGGAGTGCCTCAGGGTTCTGTTTTGGGACCTAACTTATTTATACTATACATTAATGATATATGTAAGGTTTCTGGTTTAGTGAAAGTGGTTTTGTTTGCTGATGACACTACCATATGGGCATCGGGTGAAAACCTACAGCAACTCTCTGGACAGGTTACACAGAAACTTGAGAAGATAAAGAAATGGTGTGA